CAACAATGGCGCTGGATGGCGGCGTTTGTCGGCGCCTGCCGAGGCTCGGTGAATAAACGCAACGCCGCGCACCTGCTGCGTCTGGCGTCCCTGAGTCAAAACACCTTGCAGCAATGGCGCGTCGACGATCGTCTGGACGGCTTCGACTGGCGGCGCAACGGCAAGCTGGTGGCCTTTCGCAACGCGAATACCTTTGAGCATGCGCGCAGCAAGGTCACCGACATCCTGCAACAACAGGTGCTATCCGCCCTGGACTGCGCACGCCTGGAACCGACGCTGGCGGCAGGCGGTTTTGTCGGCGGTATCTACACGCCAAACGAGGAAGTCGCCGATTGCCATGCGTTCTGTCAGCGTCTGGCGGCGCGTCTGGAGGCATCGGGGCGTTGCACATTTATATTGGGGCGCAAGGTCACCGGTATTCGTCATGCCGAGGGTGCGGTGCAGGCGCTGGAGCTGGGCGAGGAGGTCATGCCGGTGGAGCACCTGGTGCTGGCCGCCGGGCACCGCAGCGCTGAATTGGCGTTGCCTGGCGTGTCGCTGCCGTTGTATCCGCTCAAGGGTTACAGCCTCAGTGTGCCGATTGGCGAGCAGCACCGCGCTCCTAACATCAGCATCACCGACTACGACCGCAAGATCGTCTACGCACGCATCGGCGAACAATTGCGGGTGGCGGCCATGGTGGATATCGTCGGTTTCGATGCCAGCCTTGAGCCTAAGCGCCTGGCGCTGATGAAACGCCAGGCGGTCGAGACTTTTCCTACAGCTGGTGACTATAGCCATGCGCTGGAATGGGCCGGCATGCGCCCGGCCACGCCGACCGGTGTGCCACTGATCGGCGCGAGCGTTTACCGCAACCTGTGGCTCAACCTGGGCCACGGCGCCCTCGGGTTTACCCTGGCCTGCGGCAGCGGCCAACTGCTCGCCGAACTGATCGGCCAGCACCAACCTTCCATCGATATGCAGGGCCTGTCGCCCCGCGCCGCGTGAGGACGCATCCATGACCCTCCAACGAATCAACACCAACGAACGCCTCAGCGGCGCTGTGACTTTCAATGAGCTGGTGTTTCTGTCGGGCCAGGTGCCGGGTGACGGCCAGGACGTGGCGACCCAGACCCGCGAAGTCCTGGCCAGGATCGACGCGCTGTTGGCCCAGGCCGGCAGCGACAAGGACCACTTGCTCAATGCGACCATCTATCTCAAGGACATCGACAGCGGTTTTGCGCCGATGAACGAAGTGTGGTCCGCGTGGCTGACACCGGGGATGGCGCCCACCCGGACCACCCTGCAAGCCCAGCTCGCACGGCCGAGCGTGCTGGTGGAAATCAGTGTGATTGCTGTACGTAAATAACCAAAAAACCAACGGAGCATAACAATGAAAAAAATCCTGTTGACCGGCTGCGCGGTGGGGCTGTTATGGGGCGCGCAGGCCGTGGCGAACGAAGCGGCCTTGAGCGGTACGCTGAGCAAGATCGCCAACGCCAAGTCGATTACCTTGGGTTATCGCGACGCCTCGGTACCGTTTTCGTACGTGGGCGACCATAGCGGCAAACCCATGGGCTATTCGGTGGACCTGGCGAACAAGATCGTCGAACGCATCCAGCAGAAAACCGGGGTGCCCAACCTCAACGTCAAATACAACCTGGTGACCTCCCAGACCCGCATCCCGCTGGTGCAGAACGGCACCGTCGACCTGGAATGCGGTTCCACCGGGGTGACCGCCGAGCGGCAGAAACAGGTGGCGTTTTCCTACGGGTTTATCTACGTGAAGGGCCAGTTGCTGACTGCCAAAGACAGCGGCATCAAGGGGTTTGCCGATCTGCAGGGCAAGAACGTGGTGACCACCGCCGGCACCACCAACGAGCGCTTCCTCAAAAGCTACAGTGCCGAGCACAAGGCCAATATCTTTGTGATCAGCGCCAAGGACCATGGCGAGGCATTCAAGATGCTTGAGACTGGCCGCGCGGCCGCGTTCTACATGGACGACGCGCTGCTCTACGGCGAACGCGCCAAGGCCAAGGACCCGCACAATTGGGTGGTGGTGGGCGAGGAGCAGTCGCGGGAAATCTACAGCTGCATGGTGCGCAAGGATGACCCGCAGTTTCTGGCGGTGGTCAACGAGACCCTCGGTGACCTGTACCGCAGCGGGGAAATCAACGGGATTTACCAGCGCTGGTTTGAACAGCCGATTCCGCCGAAGGGCTTGAACCTTGAGTTCCCGATGACCAGCGAGCTGAAGGCGATCATTGCCAAGCCGGTCAGCGACCCGGTGGAGTGATGTGCTGATGTGGTAACCCAATCTACTGTGGGAGCTGGCTTGCCTGCGATAGCATCACCCAAGTGTTACTGAAAGACCGAGGTGACTGCATCGCGGGCAAGCCCGGCTCCCACACAAGCCCGCTCCCACAGTTTTGATTGGGTTTACAAGGTAAGGGCGTTAGAAGTCGCCCCAGAGTTGTTGGGCCACGGCCAATGCAACAACGGGAGCGGTTTCGGTACGCAACACCCGCGGCCCAAGGCGGGCGGCGTGGTAGCCGGCGGCTTGGGCCGTTTCGACTTCATTGTCGGTCAGCCCACCTTCTGGCCCGATCAAAAACGCCAGGCTCGACGGCTTGGCATGGCTGATCATCGGTTCAGCCACCGGGTGCAGCACCAGCTTCAGGTCCGCCGCGGTTTGCTTCAACCAATCGGCCAGCAGCAGCGGCGGGTGAATCACCGGCACCGTCGAACGCCCGCATTGCTCGCACGCGCTGATCGCCACCTGGCGCCAGTGCAGCAGGCGCTTGTCGGCGCGTTCGTCCTTGAGGCGCACTTCGCAGCGTTCGCTGAAAATCGGCGTGATCGCGTTGACCCCTAGCTCAGTAGCTTTCTGGATCGCCCAATCCATCCGCTCGCCCCGGGACAGGCCCTGGCCGAGGTGGATGTGCAGCGGGGATTCGGCCTGGCCCGCGAAGCTCTCGCTCAGTTGCACGGTGACGCGCTTCTTGCCGACTTCCAGCAAGCTGCCGAGGAATTCCTGGCCCGAGCCGTCGAACAATTGCACGGCGTCGCCTTCGACCATGCGCAACACGCGGCTGATGTAATGCGCCTGGGCCTCGGGCAGTTCTACGTCGCCGAGGCTCAGCGGGGTGTCGGTGAAAAAGCGGGACAATCTCATTTCTGTTCTCTGGGAAATTCTGTGCAGGAGCAAGATAACGGTGGCGAGGGTGCCTAAAAAGGTGGGGAATCAACCCGGATCGCGAAAGCCTGGGTGGAAGTCCTGTGGCACCGCGACGCTGACGCTGCTGTTGGTGGCGATGTCGATGCCTTCGCTGGCCACTTCGGCCAGGAAGTCAATTTGCTCCGGCGTGATCACATAGGGCGGCAGGAAATACACCACGCTGCCCAACGGCCGCAGCAACGCGCCGCGCTCCAGTGCGTGTTCGAATACCTTCAGGCCACGGCGTTCCTGCCATGGGTAGGCGGTCTTGGTGGCTTTGTCCTGGACCATCTCGATGGCCAGCACCATGCCGGTCTGGCGCACTTCTGACACATGGGGGTGGTCCACCAGGTGCGCGGTGGCGGTGGCCATGCGCTGGGCCAGGGCCTTGTTGTTCTCGATGACGTTGTCTTCTTCGAAAATATCCAGGGTCGCCAAGGCCGCCGCGCACGCCAGCGGGTTGCCGGTGTAGCTGTGGGAATGCAGGAAGGCGCGCAGGGTCGGGTAGTCGTCGTAGAACGCGCTGTACACGTCCTCGGTGGTCACCACGGCGGCCAAGGGCAGATAGCCGCCGGTAAGGGCCTTGGACAGGCACAGGAAGTCCGGACGGATGCCGGCCTGTTCGCAGGCGAACATGCTGCCGGTGCGGCCGAAGCCTACGGCGATTTCGTCATGGATCAGGTGCACGCCGTAGCGGTCGCAGGCTTCGCGCAGCAGCTTGAGGTACACCGGGTGATACATGCGCATACCGCCGGCGCCCTGGATCAGCGGCTCGACGATCACCGCAGCGATCGTGGCATGGTGCTCGGCCAGGGTCTGTTCCATGGCCAGGAACATCGTGCGTGAGTGTTCTTCCCAGCTCATACCCTCGGGGCGCAGGTAGCAATCGGGGCTGGGTACTTTGATCGTGTCGAGCAGCAGCGCCTTATAGGTCTCGGTAAACAGCGGCACATCGCCCACCGACATAGCGGCGATGGTTTCGCCGTGGTAGCTGTTGGTGAGGGTCACAAAGCGCTTTTTGTTCGGCAGGCCGCGGTTGAGCCAATAGTGGAAGCTCATTTTCAGCGCGACTTCGATGCACGACGAACCGTTATCGGCATAGAAGCAACGGGTCAGGCCCTCGGGCGTCATCGCCACCAGGCGCTCGGACAGCTCGATCACCGGCTGGTGGCTGAAACCGGCGAGGATCACATGCTCCAGTTGATCGACCTGATCCTTGATGCGCTGGTTGATGCGCGGGTTGGCATGCCCGAACACGTTGACCCACCAGGAGCTGACGGCGTCGAGGTAGCGCTTGCCTTCGAAGTCTTCCAGCCACACGCCCTCGCCACGCTTGATGGGGATCAGCGGCAGTTGCTGGTGGTCTTTCATCTGGGTGCAGGGATGCCACAGCACCGCCAGGTCGCGTTGCATCCACTGGTTGTTCAGGCCCATCGTGTCTCTCCTCGAAGCGGTCCTGCGACCGGCGCAGGTGAAACAATCGCGCAAGCCTATGCAAAGCAGGGCGGTGTCACAACCCATGGCGTGTGAATTGGCAGTAAACACAGGACGGACTGTCACGTTTCTCAGGAATAGTCCTTAATCCTTGGTTAACTTATCGTGCCTAGGCTCTAGATCGCATTTCTCGATATTTCAAAGCGAAATTTTCCGCTTTAATTCGATAGTTAACACGCTAGTCTTGGGCGCAGCTCTTACGGGATTAAGTACATGCAGCTACGTAACTCACCGGCCCGATATGGCTGGGTCAGTATGGTTTTGCACTGGGGCGTGGCCCTGGTGGTGTTTGGTCTGTTCGCCCTGGGCCTGTGGATGGTGGGACTCGATTACTACAGTGCCTGGCGCAAAGATGCACCGGACCTGCACAAGAGCATCGGCATCACGCTGTTTGCGGTGATGCTGGTGCGGATCGTCTGGCGCTTGATCAGCCCGCCGCCACCGCCGCTGGCCAGTTACAGCCGCCTGACCCGTATCGGCGCGGCGTTTGGCCATATGTTCCTGTACGTCGGCCTGTTTGCGGTGATGATCGCCGGTTACCTGATTTCCACCGCAGACGGTGTCGGTATTCCGGTGTTTGGCCTGTTTGAAATTCCTGCCTTGGTTTCCGGTCTACCGGACCAGGCAGACAACGCGGGTCTGGTGCACTTTTACCTGGCCTGGGTATTGCTGGTCTTCGCCGGTTTGCACGGCGTGGCTGCGTTGAAACACCACTTTATCGATCGTGATGCGACCCTCACGCGAATGCTGGGGCGCAAAGCCTGATGTTCAACCTCGACTCACAAGGAATAGAAAGCATGTTGAAAAAGACACTCGCTGCACTGGCAATCGGTACTGCTTTACTGTCCGCAGGCCAGGTCATGGCGGCTGACTACAAGATCGACAAAGAAGGCCAGCACGCCTTCATCGACTGGAAAATCAGCCACCTGGGCTACAGCTTCATCCACGGTACCTTCAAGGATTGGGATGGCACGTTCAGCTGGGATTCGGCCAAGCCAGAAGCCAGCAAAATCGCAGTCGACGTGAAAACCGCCAGCCTGTGGTCCAACCACGCCGAGCGTGACAAGCACATCGCCAGCAAAGACTTCCTCGACGTTGCCAAGTTCGCTGACGCCAAGTTCGTGTCCACCGCCGTTAAATCCACCGGCGACAAAACTGCTGACGTGACCGGCGACCTGACCCTGCACGGCGTGACCAAGCCGGTGACCTTCAAGGCCACGTTCAACGGTGAGGGCAAAGACCCATGGGGCGGCGAGCGTGCCGGCTTCAACGCCAAGACCACGCTGAACCTGAACGACTTCGGCATCAAAGGCCCAGGCCCGTCCTCCCAGACCCTGGATCTGGATATCTCCCTGGAAGGCGTGAAGCAGAAGTAATTCTGCGTAGTTAAAAAACCGGATCTCAGGATCCGGTTTTTTGTATCTGGAATGCGCTCAGTGTGGGAGGGCGCTTGCTACTGGTGGCAGCTCGGTCTGCCTGTTGATACTGATACACAGCTATCGGGGGTAAGCCTCCTCCCATATTTAGTTTGTTGAGCCCAAAAAAATGCCCCGTCTCGAAAGAGCGGGGCATTTTTTATGCTGCGTAGAAACTCAGCGGTTGCGGGTCAGCAACGCTGGTTTTTCGCCACGAGGACGGCCGGGCAATTGATCCAATTGCTCTGGAGTCGGGAAACGATCGACCTTCGACTCCTTGTGGATAATCTTCGGAGCGGGGCCGCCACGCGGGTTCTGCACGGCTGGCTCGGAGGAACGTGGCTGGTCGTCACGGGCCGGGCGGCGATTACGCGAGTCTTCGCGACGGGCCTGGCCATCACGGGGAGCGCCGTTACGCGGGCCGTTGCGCTTGGCTGGCGGGGTGCCGGTGGTGCCGCCGCTGCTGTTACGCGGACCATTCTGACGGCCGCCCTGTGGCTGACCGCCGCGAGGAGCGCCTGCGCCTGCGCCCTGTGCCGGAGCACCTGGACGACGGCCACGGCCCTGGGCCGGCTTGGCCTGAGGTACGTAGTCAACGCGGTTACCGAAGTTATCCACATCGTCGTCGAGGAACTCGTCCGGAGCGCGGTCAGCGGCGGCGCGTGGCGGTTGGCTCGGCTGGCGCTGTTCGCGGGCCGGGGTGCCTTCGCGGGGCTTTTGCTCGCGGGCCGGGCGTTCGCCACGGCCGTTGCTGGCGGATTTTTCCTTGCCCTTGTCCTTGCCCTTGTCGCGACGACCGCCGCCACCGCCACCGCCGTTCGGGCCATCGCCCTTCGGACCGCGCGGGTTGCGTGGGTTACGCACATCGGGACGCTCGCGCGCTTCAGGCTTCTCGGCTTCTACGGTACTGGCATCGAAGCCCATCAGGTCGCCGTCGGCGATTTTCTGCTTGGTCATGCGCTCGATGCTTTTCAGCAGTTTTTCTTCGTCCGGCGCCACCAGGGAGATGGCTTCGCCGGAACGACCGGCACGGCCGGTACGGCCGATACGGTGCACGTAGTCTTCATCGACGTTCGGCAGCTCGAAGTTGACCACATGTGGCAATTGGTCGATATCCAGGCCGCGGGCGGCGATATCGGTGGCCACCAGGATACGCACGGTGCCGGCCTTGAAGTCGGCCAGGGCTTTGGTGCGCGCGTTCTGGCTCTTGTTGCCGTGGATGGCGACGGCGGTCAGGCCGTGCTTGTCCAGGTACTCGGCCAGGCGGTTGGCGCCATGCTTGGTGCGGGTGAACACCAGCACCTGTTCCCAGGCGCCAGCGGTGATCAGGTGGGCCAGCAGCGCGCGTTTGTGGCTGGCGGGCAGGCGGAACACGCGTTGTTCGATACGCTCGACCGTGGTGTTCGGCGGCGTGACTTCGATGCGCTCCGGGTTGTGCAGCAGCTTGCCGGCCAGGGCGGTGATGTCCTGGGAGAACGTTGCCGAGAACAGCAGGTTCTGACGTTTGGCCGGCAGGCGGGCGAGGACTTTCTTCACGTCATGGACGAAGCCCATGTCGAGCATACGGTCGGCTTCGTCCAGCACGAGGATTTCTACGTGGGACAAATCGACGCTGCCCTGGCCGCACAAATCGAGCAAACGACCGGGGCACGCCACCAGCACGTCGACACCACGGGACATGGCCTGAACCTGAGGGTTCATGCCGACGCCGCCGAAGATGCAGGCGCTGACGAACTTCAGGTCGCGGGCATACAGCTTGAAGCTGTCATGGACCTGGGCGGCGAGTTCGCGGGTAGGGGTCAGGACCAGTACGCGCGGTTGGCGCGGGCCGTGACGCTGGGATTTGTCCGGGTGACCGTTGGGGAACAACCGCTCCAGGATCGGGAGGGCGAAACCGCCGGTTTTACCAGTACCTGTCTGGGCTGCGACCATCAGGTCGCGACCTTGCAACACGGCGGGAATAGCCCGCTGTTGCACGGGAGTAGGCTCGGTATAGCCCGCTGCCTCGATGGCGCGGACTAAAGCCTCGGAGAGACCGAGGGAAGCAAAGGACATGAGTAATCCTGTTTTAGTTAGGGCTTGGCCCAAAGGGATAATCTTGCCGGGCGTGAATGGCGCTTAGGGGAGCGAAATCCCGTCCGGTCCTGCTGCGTCTGGCGAGCACTCCACCGGCTCGCGCGGGCTGCAAAGCTGCGCTGTAGCGGGGTTGGGTGCCTTTTTCAAGACCTCAGCGGCCGGGCGTAAGCCTGGCGGAAAGGCCGGAGTATAACAGAGCAATCACGGCGCGCTGCTTTCCTGCTGCTCAACGGTGCGTTCTGCAGCTGCAATACCGGGGATTCCGCCGTATCGGGCGCTCAAGGCGGCATAGCCAGGCTCTTGTTTGAAACGCTTTAATTCGGCGGCAAAACGCTGCACCAGCAGGTCCATGCCCGCGCCACGGCGTACGGCCAGAAACTGCGGTTGGCGGCTGACCACCAGCGGCGCCTGGCTGACCTTGCCCTCCAGGCCCAATGTCTTGATCAGATGCTGGCCGACCCGGCGATCAGTGATCAGTAGATCGATACGCCCCAGCAGCAATTTGCCGAAGTTCGCCTCGTGGCTCGGCGCCGATTCGCGATTGAACAGCGCCGAATCGCTGAATTCAGCCCCGTACAGGTAACCCGGCGAGGTGCCCACTGTCAGCCCGCGCAGGTCATCCAGATGCTGCGCCGGGTGGGGGCGCTCGTTGGCATAGAACAGCACGAAGTCCACGTCCGACAGCGGTTCGCTGGGGTACAGCAACTGGGCGTCGCGCGCCTGGCTGTGGAAAATATCCAGCGCGCCGTCGGCGTGGCCTTGGTCCAACATCGCCAGGCAGCGTTTCCAGGGCAGGAATTGCCACTGTACCTCGACCCCGAGACGCTGGAACACAATGACGGTGGTTTCATAGTCCAGCCCGTACATGGCGCCCTGGTCTTCATACACATAAGGTGCCCACGGCTCGGTGACAATGCGCAATTTCTCGCCATAAGCGGCCAGACTCAGGCAAGTGAAAAGCGCAGCGGTCAACAGCTTCAGAAGGGCGTGCATGCCCTGAGGTTACGATGCCACTGCGTTAAAGAGAAGCTCTGGCATGCGCATCCGGCGGATAGCGTTATTTGGCCGGAGACGTCATCAAGTGTTCGTAGATCGCGGTACGCCGCTCACCGAGAATCAAGCGGACGACGGGATTGGCAAACCAATGTTCCAATTGGTGAGCGTCGATCGGGTGTTTCTGTCGCTCTTCCTGGTTCTGTCGTGCCTTGTCCCACCAGACCGGGCCACATGCCTGGTCGAATTCATTCTCGTGCTCGTAGCAGCCGTAAAGGATTTCGCGAATGAACTGTTGCTGGTGCTTGGGCAGGACCAGCGTGATCATCTTGTACATCAGGCGCTGCATGCGTGGTGGTCGTGGCAGGTGGGCGGAGACCTGGCGGGTATCGGCCAGGGCTTGAGCGCTGGTGGGCGCCGACTGGTGCTTGGCGATCCAGGCTTTGACCTTGGCGCGAAACAGTTGCTTGCGGCTCCAGTAGTGATGGATCAGGTCCGGACACTCGCGCACCTTGACCGTACGGTAAGCGGCGATCGACAGGCAGAACTCTTCCAAGGTGTATGCGCCCTGGGCATGGGGGAACAGTTCATCCATCAAGGCGATGGAGTGATCCAGAATTGGGGCATCCTGCTGTGTCAGGCCCATGACCCCGGAGTTGAGCGTCATCATCTGATCGTCGGCCACGCCCATGTCGAGCAGACGCTGGTGCAGGGCGGTATAGAGGATGCTCTCGCGGTTTTCACCGTACTGGGTGTAGAAAGCGTTGCACAGCAGCGTGCCCGGCTGCACGCGCTCGAACAGTTCAAGGGGGGAGCGATGGAAGAAGGTGTCTGTGTCGATCAGCAGCGCCACCGCCGACTCTTCAAGCACCTGGCGCAACGCTACATGTTTGGTGCGGAAGTGATAACCGTGGGGCTCGCACCAGCGTTTACGCGTGGCCTCGTCCAGCGGGCGCACGCGTACGGGCAGCAGGCGATAGGGCTCGGGGTCGTCGCTGAATACCTGAATATCCACGGCATCGGGAGTTTCCTGCAGAAACGCCAGGGCACTGGCGATGCTGAACACGGCTTCCTGGTGGTAGGTCTGCGCACCGAAAACCAGATAGACCAACTGCGGGCGGGAAGTCGTAGGCACTGTATTCATGGACTGCGGGTTTCCGTGGACATGTAAAACGACAAAGGCCCTCGTCGAAACGAGGGCCTTGGTTCAGCCGGAAAGACTTCAGCGTGGCAGCTTGAGGTTGTTCCAGATGGCAAGGCTGGGTTCAGCCTGGTTCAGGGTATAGAAGTGCAACCCTGGTGCGCCACCTTGTAACAAACGCTCACACATCTCGGTGATAACCTGCTCGCCGAACGCCTGAATGCTCTTGACGTCGTCGCCATAGGCTTCCAGTTGCTTGCGAACCCAGCGTGGGATCTCTGCGCCGCAAGCGTCGGAGAAACGCGCCAATTTGCTGTAGTTAGTGATCGGCATGATGCCCGGCACGATTGGGATATCCACACCGAGAGCCCGTACACGCTCGACAAAGTAGAAGTAGCTGTCAGCGTTGAAGAAGTACTGGGTGATCGCACTGTTCGCGCCGGAGTTCGCCTTACGCACGAAATTCTGCAAATCGTCTTCGAAATTGCGCGCCTGGGGATGCATCTCCGGGTAAGCAGCTACTTCAATATGGAAGTGATCGCCGCTTTCTTCACGGATGAAGCTCACCAAGTCATTGGCGTGGCGCAGCTCACCGCTGGCCATGCCCATACCGGACGGCAAATCGCCACGCAGAGCGACGATGCGCTTGATCCCGGCGTCTTTGTACTGGGTCAGCAGGCCGCGCAGGTCGGCCTTGCTGTCGCCCACGCACGACAAGTGCGGTGCGGCGGGAATATTGACCTGGCTTTCCAGCTGCAACACGGTGTTGATCGTGCGGTCGCGGGTCGAGCCGCCGGCACCGTAGGTGCAGGAGAAAAAGTCGGGTTGGTAGCTGGCCAATTGCGCGGCAGTGGCCATCAGTTTTTCATGCCCAGCATCGGTCTTGGTCGGGAAGAACTCGAAGCTGTAGCGACGGTCTTGGGACATGGTCATACCCTTTGAAACTCATAAAGCCGAAGGTGAACGCTGCAAGAACGAGCTTGTTATGGCGCAGGAGATTGCTCTGCGACCACAGCAAGCCCGTCCTACAGACGGACCAGCCGGTTACTTAGTAGCGATAAGCGTGCGGCTTGAACGGACCTTCGACAGTCACGCCGATGTAATCGGCTTGGGTCTTGGTCAGCTTGGTCACCACGCCGCCGAAGCCGCGAACCATTTCCAGGGCCACTTCTTCGTCGAGTTTCTTAGGCAGTACTTCCACGGTCAGGCGCTCGGCTTTCTGGGCAGGCGACAGGTCGGCGTACTTTTGTTCGAACAGGAAGATCTGCGCCAGCACCTGGTTGGCGAAGGAGCCGTCCATGATGCGGCTTGGGTGGCCGGTGGCGTTGCCCAGGTTAACCAAGCGGCCTTCGGCCAGCAGGATCAGGTAATCGTCATTCTGTGGATCGAATTCCCCAGCGCCGGTACGGTGAACCTTGTGCACTTGAGGTTTTACTTCTTCCCATGCCCAGTTCTTGCGCATGAAAGCGGTGTCGATCTCATTGTCGAAGTGACCGATGTTGCACACCACGGCGCGCTTTTTCAGGGCCTTGAGCATGTTGGCATCGCAGACATTCACGTTACCGGTGGTGGTGACGATCAGGTCGATCTTGCCCAGCAGGGCTTTGTCGATGCTGGCTTCGCTGCCGTCGTTGACGCCGTCGATGAATGGCGAAACCACTTCGAAACCGTCCATGCAGGCCTGCATGGCGCAGATCGGATCGACTTCGGACACTTTAACGATCATGCCTTCCTGACGCAGGGACTGGGACGAACCCTTGCCCACGTCACCGTAGCCGATCACCAGGGCTTGCTTGCCTGACAGCAGGTGGTCGGTGCCGCGCTTGATGGCGTCGTTGAGGCTGTGACGGCAGCCGTACTTGTTGTCGTTCTTGCTCTTGGTCACCGAGTCGTTGACGTTGATGGCCGGGATTTTCAGCTCGCCCTTGGCCAGCATGTCCAGCAGGCGGTGTACGCCGGTGGTAGTTTCTTCGGTCACGCCATGGACGCGATCGAGGATCTGCGGGTATTTCTTGTGCAGCAACTCGGTCAGGTCGCCGCCGTCGTCGAGGATCATGTTGGCATCCCATGGCGCGCCATCCTTGAGGATGGTTTGCTCCAGGCACCACTCGTATTCCTCTTCGGTCTCGCCTTTCCAGGCGAACACCGGAATACCGGCAGCAGCGATAGCGGCGGCGGCCTGGTCTTGAGTCGAGAAGATGTTGCAGGACGACCAACGCACTTCGGCACCCAGGGCAACCAGGGTTTCGATCAGCACGGCGGTCTGAATGGTCATGTGGATGCAGCCGAGGATCTTCGCGCCTTTGAGCGGTTGCTCGGCGGCGTACTTGCGACGCAGGCCCATCAGGGCAGGCATTTCGGATTCGGCGATAAAGGTTTCGCGACGGCCCCAGGCAGCGAGGGACATATCGGCGACTTTGTAGTCGGTGAAATCTGCAGGCGTGTTGACAGCGCTCATGAAGAGCCTCCATTCGTAGTGTGCGAATGGGCGCCGTTGTGCGTTTAGTATCAGGCCAGGGCAACCAGGCCGGACAACGCCCCATCCGAGCCTGACAGGTTGAACCTGCTGCAGCGCCCCTCGGACAGGTGGCGGGAAAACGGTAACAATTGAAGATGACCGTTTTGAAACGGGTGGGATTATAGCTGCGCATTCCAGACTTCCCAAGCCTTTCCGTCACCGGCATGAAGATCGCTCATGGCCGCTATAGGCAATGGTTCATAGAGCTTGGGCCCGGCCTCTGCCATGATGTTGCCCATCATTCGGCAAGACGCTTTGGAGTGACCATGAACTTCCACACCCGCAAATGGGTTAAACCTGAAGACCTCAACCCCAACGGCACACTGTTCGGTGGCA